AGAAGAGAGGAGAGAAGAGAGAAGGTTTGCAATGTAACAGTACTGGCAGCGCCAATGTTTATTTTACTATATATAGGGTAACATAAATAACAAGGGAAAAGACCCTTGTGCCCTTGAGTACAATAACAGACATAACAGAAATAAAAAAYGAAATAAAAAAACACTTTAATTAGCCAAACAGGCCCTAACATCTGCAACTAAGTTATTTTAATAAGGCAAGGACACTGAATCCAAGCATAGCTCAAGTACTTTGTTTAGATTTTCCTCCTACAAATTTGGTCTTTTTTTATTCAATTCATGAATTGCATGCAAAAGTCCCAAAGCGTAGTAAACCCAAGTTGCAATAAAAAATCCCAAAGTATAGTTCTAGGAATTGTTTGGTCAGTTCAGCTCTGAACTCCATTGCTGAAGTAATAAACCTTGGTTTTGCTTTTAGAAACTATAATGTCTCTTGTTGTTCTGATTGAATTAGCTAGACAGTCTTGTCCATGCAAAAACCCTTTCAAACATGGAATAAACTACTCATAAAAGATTATGAAAGGTGTGGGAATGCCTGTAAGGTGTTTGATACTCGTTCATAAAGGCACAAGTTTTGGGTCTTCAGTCACTTTGTCATTCAAACTAGACTAAGGCCCCGTTTGGTTCGCGGGAATAGGGGTTTGGAATCAGAATTGGAATTGGATATTTTGATTCCAACTGTTTGGTTGGGTAGAATTGGAATCTCATTCCCATTTCTGTTGAAATGGCATTCCCCCGTTTGAGGGGATGTCCATTCCCTGCTCCTCCCTTGGGAATGAAATCTCATTCCTGCTGATTTTAATTCCCATTCCCATTCCTATCTGAACCAAAGAGATTATGGAAGTGGACCATTCTGATTTCGATTCCAGAGAATTTCGATTCCGATTCCAAATATAAACCAAACGGACCTTAAGTCTAATCTAGATAAAGTTTGTAATTTGGTTTGATTTTCAAAGGGGGATTCGTTATTGTCATAGGTTGAAAGTGAAAGCTTTTAATTATTATAAGGGTAAACTTGTTGATAGTTTTCTAAGGAAGAATTCTCTGTTTCAGTTGAACTAGGGTGGAAATGGATTTGAGTTGAGGACTCTTCATAAAAATGATTTTCTGTAGCTTTGTTTAAAAAGAAAGTTCTTTGGTAAGGGGAGTATTATAAAGTTTTCTATTGAAAACCATGGTACTTCTCTAAAGAAGTGGTTTTTGGTGACTATCTTGGAACAATCACTAGTGTACCCATGAAGATAATCAATTAGAATTATCAGGATTTGGGGACTATACTCCCTAACAGTTCATGCATCTCAAGAGGTCATCCATAAGTAAAAACCTAATATAGTCTTCCTTATTTGAAACAAAAAAAAAAAAAACTCTTATGGATCCTTTAGGTTGGGCAGGTGGCATGACTCTACGAGTATTTTATCATACTAAAATTAACGATCATCAGAATGGTAAATGGGCTTGTTCTTTTACGTATGGGGAGTCAAAAAGGAAAAAAAAATGAAGAAATTTACGGATGATTAGGGTATTTTAGCTGTTGACTATGTAACATTGGGGATTTCAAATTAAATTTTTTGAAAGAAAAAAGGAGGAAGAGCTCGTAGGAATTAAGAGCTAAAACAGAACATAAGTTACGGTCTCAATTTAGTAAGGGAGATACTTGGTGTACCAAAAGAGAAGAAAGTGAGACTATTCAATAAGTGTTGGACAAAGCTTTATGTAATCTTGGGTGGATGTGGATTTTTAGTGAAGCCTATGTTTTCCACATTGTGTCAGGTGGCTTTTGACCGATCCTATAGCACTTTAAACTCATCCTCTTGTGTAGGAAATCCTTTTAGATTTGATAAAATGTGAATGGAACATGAAGATTGCCATAGGATGATTGGAAGTTCTTGGCAAGAGGTAGCTAGAGGTAACTCTCAAGGTCAGTTTTGTAGGAAAAGTAGGAATCTTAGATTTGAGTTGAACAAATGGAATAGAGAGGTGTTTGGTAAAGTTCAAACAAGAATAAAAGAATCCATAGAAAGGATGAATGTAAATGTGAACTCTGGTTAAAAGGGGATCAGAGGAATCAAAATAATATAGATGAATTAGAAAAGGAGTTAATCGAATGGCTTAAAGGGGGAATGAAATACATTGGGCCCAAAAGTCGAACGGTTGAGGTGGGGAGATAAAAATACAAAGTACTTCTATAAGTAGAAGACCCAGAGAGCAAGGAATGGGATCATAAAATTGAAAAATAATGATAGAAATTGGATTGAGGACCCAAACGATATTGAGAAGGCAATTGTTGATTATTTTCAGTTAATTTTCAAATTACCCTACCAAAGTAACACTGACGAGGAAATAGATTATATATCAAGGGTGATAATAGACGAGGATAACAATGATCTTGATGAGAAGGTTACTAATGAAGAGATTGAGCTTGCTCTGAGGCAAATGAACCCTCACAAGGCCAGATGGCTTTCCAATTTTCTTTTTCCAAAGATTCTAGGGATTGTTGGAGAATATGTTAGAAATGTAGTGAAAAGTTTTTTGTAGGAAAATCACTTGAAAAGTGATCTTAATTTCACCTGCATCATCTTAATTCCCAAGGTCAAATATCCAAAAGAAATTAGACAATTCAAGCCCATTAATTTCTACAATACCACCTATAAAATTAGGGGAAATTTCTTAAAGTACCCTTATGATTTAGTAAATTGACTTATTCACCCCTAATGTTTAAAAATTGACTTGAAATATTCCCAAATTTTCTAACAATTGACTAAATCCCAATGGAAAAGACTATTTTACCTAAGATGGGCAGAATAGTTCTGAGAGTAAGAGCATGTCTTAAGTGGTTGGCGGGCAAACACACTCTCACAGATGGGCAAAATAGTTCTGATTAATAGTGTGTTGTCAGTCATTCCCTCCTATACAATGTCAGTTCACTCTTTTGCCTGTTCAAACTTGTGACCAAATTGAAAGTATCCTTCTTGACTGGGAAATCTCGGTTGGGGAAGGATTTAAAGGCTTGTAAGCCTAAAGATATGAAGGAGGTTTGGGTATAAGGAGAATTAAAACAACCAATAATTCTTTTTTCACCAAAATTGGTTGGCGTATATTGACTGAAAAGGAGTATCATCATTTTGGAGAAAGCTACTAATACAGAAATATATCAAACATTCTAATTTCTTATCAGCATTAGTTACTAGCACTTGCTCTCCTTTATGGAAGGTTCTTGGCAAAGTTAGAGGGATTTTGTGAAGTGGATGATGCAAGAGAGTGGTTATTGGGAGAATTATCAAAATATGGGATGATCCATGGGTTCCAGATATTGATAGGTTTTGTGGTGCAAATCCACCTTTATTTCTACAGATAATGTTTATTTTGTTGCAGATCTAATATTGGATACTAGACAAGGAATGAACTACTCAACTTAATTTTTATGCCCAAGGAGCAACAGGCCATTAGGAGAATTGGTTTACTTGTTGAAGTGTTTGAAAGAGGATGGCTGGAAATGGGTGCACTCCAATCTAACTGTCAAATCTGTTTATAAAAAGCTACTGATGGATGGAGCAGGGCAACATAATGTAGTTCGGTGGAGAAAATTCTGGAAGTTAAACCTTCTATGCCCGAATTAAGCTATTTGTTTGGAAGTTAATACATGGTTTGTATTCACAAAAAGTAGATGGTGAGGGGAACATGTTGATAGGAAGTGTGTGTGTTGTGTGGGGAGGAGGATGAATTTGCGGAGCATTTATTTTGGTGGTGTAATTTTTCCAAGGTAGTGTTGGTTTGAAAGTATTGGGTGGAGGCCAGAAGGACTTCAAGAAGATATAGTGGCAAAATGGCTTCAACAAATCATTCAACAGTTAAATATTCATGATGATTCATCTCTTTTTGTGTTGCAGATGCAAGCTACTGTGGGTGCTTTGGTTAACAAGGAATGAAATACCATTGAATGGAGGGAGTCCTTCACCTAATGCTGTGATTGAGAAGGTTCGAAGGATTGGAAGGGAACTAAAAGGCTTGCAAGTTAATTTAGGTGATGTTCGGCATCAATGCCGTTTTCTAAGAAAATTGCGCCAAGTAGGCATCACATCAAAGAAAGTGGTGCTTCAGAAAATGCCCAGCACCAAACAAGACCAATGTTGTTTACTTAAAAAACAGCCTATGTGACAGCATCAATTCCAAAYAAAAAATAAGCACCATTTTTTTACATCTCCACATGCCCAGCACCATTTTTATAAGAACACTGGTGCACTATTCCCATCCCTAATGCCAAACACCTATTTACAAGATGAAAATACGGTATCACAGGTCAGATATCAATGGTGAATGGATTCTTACCCCATCTAAACTTTTAATGAAATAATTTTCCTTTTACAGCAAAACAACAAAGGGTTCAAGATATAGAAAAAATATGATATCCGAAAAACACCTAACCAACTGGAATCATAGATTGGGTATGAAATAATTTGAATCTTTCATACCATATTTTTTCCATATCATAGATTTTCCCAAAAAAAAAAGATATGTCACGGTCTGACCTGTTCGATCAGATGATCGAACCGATGAATCAGTGACTCGCGACCAGAGGCAAAACACTTCAGYTCCGGTTCGGTTATTAAAACACCGTCGTATTCCTGAGATTCTTTTCCATAGTCCAGATACATTATTTCAAGACGGAATAACCAATCCGTATCAGCAATAGTTTGGAGATCATCGAGAATCTTGGCCGCACGTCAGACGTCCAGACTCCAGACCAACTTTAGAAGAGCCAGAAAGCATGAAATGATGAAATAGTTAAGAAATCTTGATAATCCAGTTTCGACCATTTCTGAGCATAGGATTAGGATTTCCAAGATGGGATCCGTTGAATGGTAAAGTTTTTTTTTTTTCATCTCTCTCCGTGCATCGTGTATAGGACTGTAGTCCATGATTCGTCATAGACATCCTCCACTGGGAACATTGAAGAAAGCTTGGTGATCCCATCCTCGTCCCTTTTATCCACACAGTAGCTTTATGTTACGAAAGGGAGCAAATGAACGGATAGAATTCTTAGGGAAGAGAATATGGCCTCTGCAACAATGATGTCCATCGGTTTGAGGTTCTCCCTATCGTTTCCTTCGCTTCGGAGCTCCAATGGCGTTAGTCTTGCTTCCTTCAACAAGGCAACTTCCTTGAAGCTTAGTTCGTCGCAAAACATTTCTGGGTTTCTTTCAGTTCTTCCAAGCAGGCTCTGCACAATCACCTCTCGGCCTCAAAACCCTCAATCTCTGACTGTCTTCGCTGCAAAAGGTTACAAAATGAAAACCCACAAGGTATTTCTCCCAAATTTTCGTTTTTCTTTCCTCTAATCTCTGCTAACTACCTTTAGTGATTTGGGTGTTAATGAAGACCTGTCTTTTTTGAAGATTTTCTGTTGATTTTTTGGTTCTTAGGCTTCAGCAAAACGATTCCGAGTGACGGGTACTGGAAAGATAGTGAGGAGGAGAGCCGGAAAACAGCATTTACTTGCTAAGAAGAACAGCAAGAGGAAACTAAGACTGTCGAAAATGGTGAGTTCTCTTGAATTATCTGGGTTCCAAGAAAAGTATTATTGAGTTCCTTTTGTAATAATCCCCCTGTTTCCTAGTTAGTAATATTGCCTGATGCAATTTTAGAGGTACAGTTTTCTAAGTGTTATATTTGCAGTTAGAAAGCAGGTGTAGGTCTCGAAGCATCCATTGAGGAGAATAAGAGATGTGCAGAGCTTTGCAAAGAGGAAAAGAAAATCCTACTAGGAGGGAAAAGAGCTATCAATTCTAGGAATCCTTTAATTATATTCAGGGAGAAGCTTATTTCTAATCTCATTAAGTTAATACGCCAGCCTCCATGGGCCTGAGCTAGCTATCCTAGCCCACCAACATTGCCAATTCACCCCTCACAATTAATAGATGCTAAAATCCTTACTGACTACCGAGGTTTCCACAGAAAGGTTTAACTATAATCAGTTTAAGAACATGTTATCCGGATGTAGGATGGTAGCAGCAGTTCATTTTTAATAATGGTCAGATAGGATTTTTTTTTTTGTAATTTTTTGAGGTTGTGGTGGTTTAGGAAGATGATGTTAATGGTATCATTATATCTTACCTTTTGATTCAGTGTCTTCTAGTTTCTTTGTTATATTTTTACTGTTCTCTTCCAATGCTAGTAAAACTTGATCAATGCCTTGTTTCTTGTCCCTAGAAAGGGAGATTTTGATGTTTTGAAATTATAAACTCCAATTAGAGCCCTGGGGAAATTCTTGTTCTCCCATGTTCTTTCTGAGAAAGATTTAGTTTTTTTTTTTTTTAATGTTTTGTCAACAAGACTTGGCTTGTGATATGTTACCCGAACATACCATGGACACATGACCCATGCATGTGCCCAACTGCCCATGCAGCATAGCTAATTAGATTTTGGTCCTTCATATATGGTAACATTGTGCACATGTAAAAAATATATGCACAGGTGCATCTGACATGTTGGCTATCTTTGAGGAATACTTAGAATGTCAATCTAATACCACTTATTCGAATTATTCAACCTAGAGAGCAACAGCTCAACATGTAATGATCTCTACCCAGATTGTGTAGTTTATGTTTTGATTGTCAAATAAAAATAAATAAATTTTTGTATGGTGAATTACTGACTAAACTCATAATTTGAGTAGAGATCATTACATGTTGAACTGTAATGAGGAAATCCCAAAATGGGAGAAAATAAAAAGCAGAAATTCATGTTGAACATGATTTTGTGTTAAAAAAGAAGCTCAGCTCCAAGAAATTCTGTGTTGTACTATGTTGATGCTATTGCCTTATTGGTCTACATGTTTTGGAATATCTTTACATTTTTTTCTTCTAATAATCTTCTATTACTTGCATATTTCCTTTGAGATATGCTACCACTAAGATCAGATAAAAATCTTACAACTTTTGTTCATTTTTGGAATTTTATTACATGAAAAGGAAAGTAGCCTGTTCATCTTTTTTCTATTTAATTTGTCGCTACCAAATTCACATCGGAAGCTAAACATTTTTTTTCTTTTCCTGGAACTTTATTTCATGTAAAGGGTGCAACCTAATAGCATCTTCTTCTTAGTTATCTGTAATATAGTCTTTTCAATATAATCAGATTGGTTAAAATCTCTCTTTCATAACGTCCTCTTCGTATATGTTTCTCTTGTCAGGACCAATTTCCCCTTGTTATGAATGCTTTTCTGATATCTAATTCTTAACTCATTTTAGCATCCATTTTGTAGTAAAAGTAAAATTTCAATGACAAAACATTGGATCTATTAGATTTTTTCTATTTCTAATTTTTATTTTTTACTACCCTTGTTTTCTTGTAACCTCTCCACTGTTGCACGGACCATGTCATTGCTAATTTTGCCTTTCTCATTCAACCTATCAGAATGAACCTTCACTCTCAGTGGCATATCATATGGGACATCAGTCATCAAAGGGTAATCTTTTCCAATTGAGAGTCAAAAGGTTAATTGGCTTTAGAAAATCTATGAAGGAGTGATAAAGGAAGATGGATTAGGAGATTGAAAGGTTTGGTGGGAGGCCTAGAGAAAATGGTGTATTAGAAGGTCGATTTGAAAATTGAAATGACCAGCAGAAATTTGGGTCTGAGACTGAGTTTTGCAATGGGTAAGAAGTCCTCACCTAGATCTACATGGGGATAGAAAGAATCGAACTGAAAATCTGACTCAGGCCCAATGAACTCTTTCTTCCAATTGAATACAAAAAACAAAATTTTTAAGTGTAAAATCTTTCTTTTGCCTTTTTATCTTGTCTCAAGTGTTTCAGATTCTATGCCAAGAACCAAGACAGTTTTTTTCCCTTGATAGAGAAAGTGTCCCTAGCATAATAACCTTTATGATTTTGCATGCTTTGCATAGTGGTTCTTTATTTTTATATTCATTTTTTTAGCTGGGCTTTTCTAGTGCATGCTTGAGGTTTCTACTCTCTACTAGTATGGGGATCTTTATGTAAGTAAATTTCCTGGATGTTGTATCAAGAACTGCAATTGTATGGACCATGGACAGAAATACACTTGCATATCTAATTGCACTGTAAGACAAGTTTCAATGTCTGATTAATATGTGAATTTCAATATTTCCATTCAAGATCTGCCAGTGCCATGCTATCTTCTTTGTTAGGGCAAGTTCATAACCTATTTTTCTTACATGTATGTGATTTATATTATCCACAGCACCCAGTTAGCCGGAGTGACTATGACAATGTTATTGGTGCATTGCCGTATCTAAAAGTGAATCGACAAGCAAACTGAGCTAATTGTTCTCTTTTGGGATAAGTTTGGTGGAAGGATTCTTCTATATCCTTTTTTATTTTATGTTTCTTATTCTTTCCTCTCTCTTTTTATTTTTAATGACATGCTTTTTTTGTAATTAAAACGTTCACTTGAAGCATCTGCTGTTTATCTATCAGCATCAACATTCAAGAATGCAATTACTCTCTCTCTCTGTTTGTCTATTGCAAAATGCAAGTTTTCGTGCTTTCCTATTTTGGATAAATGGTTGTATGTTTTTTCCCTAATCTATATCCGCCTTTAGGTTTTCTCTTAAATCTATGTTTTGTTTTGCCGCAATAGGGGCCAGGAATTTTTCAATCTAAATATTTCAGCTTCCCCTTTATGGCCAAAATGAAGATTGGTGTGCGTAAAGACTGAAAAGGCCGAAAATTGGGAAGCTCAAATGAAGCTTTTGGTCTTTCTACATTGAAAATAGCCTTCCCAGTTAGGAATGGCAACGGGGCGGGGCCCCATCCCCGTCCCCATCCCAGCTAATGGGGACAAGGTTATATCTCCATTGCCATCCCCATGGGGATCTTCATTCCCCGTAAATTTGTATAATGTTAATAATTTTATTTTTGCTTTTGTTTTTTATTTTATTTAAAAAATAAAAATAAAATAATTAAAATTTACAATCTATTAAAAAAGATTCAAACATATTCAATTATATTTTTAAAACATTAATATATAAACGTATTTGTACATATATAACGTATACATATATACATATATATTAGTGGGGATCCCACGGGCAGGGATCGGGGTCCCCGCGGGGCGGGGAGTGTTCTCCCCGTCCCCACTAACGAGGATGAAAATTTCCCCATCCCTGTCCCCGTGGGGGGGAAATCATCTCCATCCCAGCCCCATTTGTGGCGGATCCCTACGAGGATCGGGGAAATGGGGAAAATTGCCATCACTATTCCCAGTTGTTTTAACAGCCCGGTATATCATGATGCAAACCAAACAGTCTTTGTCTTTAAAGACAGAACCCCAAAAGCTCAGTGCGTCTTCTTGTCTATTGGTCTGTTGAAAGATCTACTTAGAAAGACTTGTTAAACGGCTCTTAAGTTTTCCAATCCTTTTACGTTGAAACAACACAACTTAGGGAATGTTCTACAGCATGAATGCCTTTTGTTTTAATTTGTTTTTGGAATCGCCACATCAACAAAAAAAAAAACATTTTCTTGAACTCTGTTTTTGTTTTCAAAATGAAAAACAAGTTGTCTTTGTTGTAAAAAATAATACATATTTTTGAAACCAAAAAAATATTGGTTTTTAAAATGAAAACAAATCTTTTTAGTATGGAAATTATATAATTATAGAACATGATGCTGAATAATAAGATGAAAACATGTTTTTTAAACCAGATTCAAGAACATGTTTTTGGTTTCAGTTTTGAAAACAAAAAACATGCACACAACCAATAATATGTTTCTTATGTTTTTGTTTTAAGAAACAATATGTTTTCAAACAAGATCATTTTGATTTGTTTTTAGAACCGGCAATAAGAAAAGCAATTCACATTGTAGAATGCCCCCTTAAAGTTGCCTCATGATATAATTGGTAAAGAAAGGTTTTTGAAGCCCTTTTGATGCTATAGGAAGAGCAATGAGAGGTAAGGTTGCCAATCAGATTGGATTTGGTCTAATCCAATATTGGTCCATTTACAAATGGCTAGACCAAATCCATTCCAACATGAGAAATCCAGAAAATAAAAATAAAAAAACAAAGAACAAAAAATAAAACAACACCTACTACAATCCAATCCAATTAAAATGCAAATGGACCACCAATTTGGTCCAATTAAAATGTAAATGACTAGATTGGGTCCAAATCCAATCTAAAGTGAATAAATAAAAGTATTTTTATAAAAGTGTTTTAGTAAAAGTACTTTTGTAAAAGTGCTTCACAAAAGTGTTTTCTTAAAAGTACTTTTGTATAAGTACTTTTGTATAAGTGCTTTTATAAAAGTAATTTCATAATTGTTTTTGTAAAAGTGCTTTCATAAAAGTAATTTCATAAAAGTGCTTTCATAAAAGTAATTTCATAAAAGTGCTTTTGTAAAATGATTTCTATAAAAGTGATTTTATAATAGTACTTTCGTGTAAAAGTACTTTCACAAAAGTTTTTATAAAAATAATTTCATAAAAGTACTTTCACAAGGGTACTTCTGTGAAAGTACATAAAGATAATTTCATAAAATTACTTTCATAAAAATGCTTTTATAAAAATAATTTCATAAAAGTGATTTTATAAAAATACTTTCGCAAAAGTTCTTTTACAAAAGTGATTTCGTAACTTTTGAGTGTTTTTATAAAAGTAGTTTCATAAAAATAGTTTTATATTAAACTTGATCAAATCAAACCGCTTTCATTGTGATTCACATATTTAATGACTTTGGAATCAGTTTTGTCCAAATTCAGTCCACTATGTGTACAAACCATTTATATTTAGACTGGCTCGAGTCCATATAATCTTTTGGACCGTTTAACCCATCCAAAAGACATTTGGACTGGATGGGGTCCAACTTGAATCCAGTTCATTGTAGGAATGGCAACAGGGTAGGTTCGAGGCGGGGATAATATTCCCCGTTCCCAATCCCCACCGGGGATAAAATTTGTCCTCCATCCCCAATCCCTAACGGGGACCCAAATCCCCAAAATTTTTTAGATAATAGTATTATTTCAAAAAATAAGTTTACTTAAAATAAATAAAAATTTTAAATTATAAATAATGCTTTAAATATGTTTTGGTATATATATAATCGAGGACCTCAATCCTTATCCCCGACCCCATCGGGTCGGGGTGAGATATGTTTTGTGATATACTTTGTATATGCATTTACATTGTGGAAAAATTAAGATGTACATAAATGCACATGAACATTCAGGTGTAAATTGGGCCATGTCGGGCCAGCATAACACGACCTACGCGTAGCTTGTGCAAAGTGCAGGCCGAATTGGGTTGTACTTCCTTCCCTTTGGATACTTCAAGGGGTCGGCTCGGCACAGCCCATAGCCCAAGCCTGTGCGGGCCCATGCCGAGCCAGGTCATGCCGCGGAGCTGGGCTGGGCGGGTTGCAGGTCGTGTAGTAAGTATGGCCCGTGTTAGGTTGGGCTATGGGTTAGGCCTTAGGCCTAGGCCGAACCAAGCCAAACTTTGTTTTTTGTTTTTTTTTTTTTACATTTTGATTTTTGTTTTGCTAAAATACTTAACTTTCCTGAATTCAATAATTCCTTTGATCTTTGGGAACAAAGTGGAAAAATAGAAAACCTAACAAAGAAATTAAAAAAAAAAAAACTTAAATACTTAACAAAACACAAAATGAACAACAAATTGGAAAAATAGGAATTTTATTTCTTGACTTTGAACAATACGATGGTCAATGGACAATGGATGAATGAAATATAGAAAATGGAATAAAATATAAAAAATATAATACAATTATAAATTGGAAATAAAAATTGCATTGTTGAAAAATAAGAACTAATATAAATAAATTGAAAATATTTACAATAATTTTAAAAATTGAAAAAAAAATAAAACGATTGAAATAATGAAATATTAAGCATACAAAAGAATAAGAAATATTGACTTCATCATTTTTCTGCAAGTTCCACCTCCACCGGCATCTTCATCTAATCAATCATCTCCTTGATTGTCATCATCTGCTTTAGGTGAAACATTAGGTGTAATGTCATGCCCTCCTTTGTCTTGTAATCTATCTTTAGCATCCAACCAATCTTTAAGGTAGATGCACATCTCCAGACTTTCATTCAACCGTGTCGGGCCATGGCACGACCTTAAACTATCGGGCTGGGCCGGCTTAAAATCATGCTAGGCCACAGGCAGCCCAACTCGATTTACACATCTAAACATTCTATGAAAATTTAAATAAAGCTCAAAAATGCATCATCATCATTTATATTGGGTCAACTAAAATATTAAAAATAATGCATCAATTAAATTAAATCTAAATCTGAGATTGACTCATACTTCAATATTTTATTAATAAAATAATGATGATTTATTGAAAAATCCACTAAAAATTCTGAAATTAGAAAAAAAAAATCATAGACCAAAATTTTGAGATATTTTACCTGAAATTTCAGAATATTATTAAAAATAATATAACAACAACAATATTCAAACCAAAAAATAACAATAATATAAATATTGATAAAACAATGAAATTTTATAAAAAAGGCTTTTACCCCAAATTTCAGATATCAAAAGAAATTCATCATAGACCAAGTGGCCAAAATTAGCTAAAACCTATCATACTTAAATCCTTCTATATTGGTGCGCTCGGGATGCGTCGCCAAACACCCGGGTCACCAGTTTAATAATTTATATATTTCCAATCCTCAAAACTAAATAAAGAACATAGCTTAGTGGTGAGGAAGGGGGTCGAATCCTCAAGGAAGCAAGGTTAAAAATTATTATTTTGTTTCAGACAAATAAGAAAAAGAAAACAGATTTTGGGATTTGCAGAAAATAAGAAAATAAAATTTATTAAAGCTGAAATTAAATATTCAAAATTGAAAAAGACAAGAAATTAAATAAAACTGGAATTAACAAGAAAATAAATAAAAATATGCTGAAATTCGGATCTAGTGGCGGTAGCTTTTCGAGAAGACAAACTCCGAGTCGTCCACCTCCGTTCAACCCTCGAACCCCTCGAGACACCTTAGTCTTGAACTGGGCGAATTTAAATCTGCAAAAGACAAAGAAAAACAGAAATTAAATCAAACCAAAATCGAAAATTGCAGAAATTAAATTGATAGAAAAAACTAAATAACAAAAGGAAAGAAAATAAAACAAAATAAAAATGGTGGATCAGCTCCAGTGGCGGTAGTTGCAGGTTGGACAAACTATTTGCAGGAACCCCTCCTGACAAAAATTGGGCGTCATCCTTCCTATAACCCTTGAACCCCTCAAAAAGCCTTGGCCTTGTGAACTGGGCTAACCAACCCCTTCTCTAGGGCCCTTGGGGTCCTTCTTATAAAGAAGGGTGGACAAAATTGGGATTAGAGAGAAAGAGAGGGGCAGCTAGTGGGTTTATGCAGAAAATGGGTGCCCCTAGGGTTTAGGAATGAAGGGTTAGGATTAAACTAGAGGGATCCTACAGCTAGAGTAAATAGGAGAGAGCGCTTATAAGTATGGAGGGTTGGGATTTAAACTCCTAGGACTGAATGGTGGAGATTTGG